GTGGTATCCAGAATGGGTCAAGGAAGACACTGTGCAGGATTAAGTATCCGTGTCTCAGCCTTAACATCAAGATAAGGATCTTGCCTTGCTTCCACCTCAACTTTCCTAAACAGAATTTGCTGCTGATAACTCTTTATATTCCTCCCTCTATCTCTTATCCCCATACTCTAGAAATCTGTCAATAGCAGAAGTCTATAGTATCAGGCTAGAAACAGACCATGAGTTCTAATCTGGCCTTAGGCACAAAGCCAGCTGGATGACCTTGGGCTCGTCTCTTTCTCTGAGCTCTTGGAAGGAGGCAATACCAAGCCAACTCTAAAAAATACTTCAGGGATTTGTCCAGGAATTTGTCAGAGAACTGGACCAACTGCATTGTGTGCTTCTTTGGACTTCCCACGCAAGGCCCTTTTTCAGAAGACCAAGAGAACGGGGCCCACCTCACTTCCAGGGGAAGATTATTCCATAGGGCATAAGCAGAGAAAGCTTTTGTTGGGGTTTGCAACATACCTTTCTGCCTGATGGGTGGGCTGGGCCAATGTGATGGGGCAAAGCTGGTTCTGTAGGTAGCCTGGCCCATGAGATGTAGGGCTTTATAAGTCATAACTAGCAGCTTAAACTGGACCCAGAAGCAAACAGGTGGAGTTCACAGAGCAGAGGTGTTACATGTGCCCTTCTTTTGGTACCCAAAAGAGCTGCTCACACTGCTGCACTTTGTACTAGTTGAATCTTCCAGATACTTTTCAATATATACCAAGTCATTGAACGCAGGGATAGTTTCTGGAATGAGAAAGCTTTATTGCCATATCTGTATGAAATCTATCATACATTGTTGTGCTCATGAAGTAATCCATAATTGAATTTCACTCAAAATCTAAAGATTAAAATAGATCTTATCAATACTGTAGTTAATATTTCCCATAACTTAGAAAGCCATCCATGGAGAACAGTAGAAATGTGGCTTGTTTTTTTTTTAATTTTCTTTCACTTGAGGAATTTTCTTCATATTGAATGAAATGCACTCAACTATCTTCTAACCCATAACACCCAGAAAATGTTCATAGGATCAATCATCAACAACCAGTCAATATCTTAAAATATCTAGCTGTCCTTCAAAGCTCTTTATGGGTATATCATCTTGATTTGTGTTACTGTTGATAAAATTATTTTAAGGAGTATGTTTATTCATTGCTTGAACCAAGAAAGATAATTTTCTGCAGAGCTTTATTTATTTGATGGTTTGCCAATGTTTGACACAGTACACTAATTGCAATATATACTAGAATATGGTTTTAACTCAAATATGATATTAAAAACTTGGTTTATCTCTTCTAATAACTGCATTGGCAGAGGGATAGTGAATAATCTACTCAAATTAAAATAGTAGAATTCTTTACTATAAAACCATTAACAAATTATTCCTCTGTTATTGCGAGCTCAGGTACACAAATCTATTTTGGATGGTAAAGTCCTTGGTATTCTCTGAGTTTGACTGCTTGCTTTCAGGTATTTCATTAGACAACTGGGAAAAACCATCAGTGTGAAACAAAGTTTGCCCCCCATTTATATACAGCAGTTTGTCCTGCCAATATATGCAATATTTTGGTAGTTCCTTGATTAAGGTATTGTTTTCCACTTAATTGTCTGCTTCTCTGGTGTTGGCTGCTATAAAGGATGTGTTTTGGACTTTTTGATTCCCTTTTAAGTTTTTATAGTCTCTTTTGGATGGATGGAATGAATGAAATCTGTTTGAATGTAATTAGATTCAACATGTATTTTTATAGACAAACATACTGAGCCACCTATAAATTAGACCAGCAACTGCTGAAAGAACTTCAATTTGAGGTAACACTGCAGATAAACACTTTGAATAGCTTTCAAAACCACAATACCAGACTTCCTGCCTGAAAATGGAGAATTGTCTTTACCACTGATTTCTCACAATATAAGCTGGCAGTTTAAGTGAATTAGCATTGGCTTAGAATACTGTACTGAAATCTCTCTGATAAATATGTTTTCATCAGAATTAAACTGCTGCCAACTATATTGACTGATTTAACCTCAGAAAGTCTGGAAACAAATAGTTTATCAAAGTTCCAAGTGAATGGGTTCACAATTTCTTCACAGTCCTCAATGCAGCCTATCACAACCCAGGTGGTTCAATTATAGCTGAATAAAGTCCAGTCTTAGACTGTTGTTGTGTGGAATATCTTAGGGCTTGATTTTCTCTCTTGTTTAACATTTACATGAGGCCATTGGGTGATGTCATACATAAGCATGGAGTTGGTATGGAGTTGGCAATTATACATCTCTTCCCATCTATACCTGAGTTGCCAATTATACATCTCAGCCCCTGACTGCTCAAGTATTCTGGCTCAATGTAGGATGGGATGGAAGGAACAGACATAGACTGAAACCTAGCAAGACTGGTTGTGATTATTAAAGCATCCTAGATCTGGAACAGTGTCTCTCAACCTTGGCAATTTGAAAATGTGTGGACTTCAATTTCAAGGCATCAAGGGGAATTTAACATTCACACCTAATGGTATAATGGGTCCTCCTAAGCCAGTGATGCCGAACCTTTTGTGGCTTGTGTGTCAAAAGCGGAAAGCGCGCAAGGGGGTTCATGCGTGGGTGTGCCACACCCATAATGCTATGCGCACGACCCCAGCGTGCATGCGCGCACAGCCAGTGCTCCCTCCATGTGCTTTTTTTGCCCACCCCAGGCTCCAGAGGCTTTATAGGAGCCTGGGGAGGGCGAAAACAGCATTCCCCGTCCCCCTGGACGTCCTCTGGAGGCTTCAGGAGATTCCCTGAATCCTCCGGAGTGCAAAAAAACGGCCCTATGGACAAACTGGAAGTTTGGGAACAAACCTCCGGTTTGCTCATAGGGCCGGTTTCAGGGGCCTTCAGGAGGCTTCCCTGAAGACTCCGGAGGGCAAAAAATGACCCTACAAGCAAACCAGAAGTCACTTTCGGTTTGTTCGTAGAGCCATTTTTCGTCTTCCAGAGCCTTCAGGGGGCCTTGTGGAGGCTTCCCTGAAGGCTCCAGAGGGCAAAAAACGACTCTACGAGCAACTCTGAAGTGACTTCAGGGAAGCCTCCTGAAGGCTCAGGAGGGCTAAAACCGGCCATATGAGCAAACTGGAAGTACATTCCCGAACTTCTGGTTTGCCCGTAGGGACGGTTGTTCATACTCTGGAGGCTTCAGGGAAGCTCTTGAAGCCTCTGGAGGGTGAAAAATGGCCTCAAAAGAAGGCCAAAGTCAGCTGGCCAGCGCGCACAGGATCCATTTCTCACACAAAGTCATCTCAGAACCCAGGAAATGTTCCTTCTCTGTCACTTCCTATAAAATATGCTCTCTCCCAAGATCCAGATGGCAAAAGCCTTATCTTGCTTTTGTGATGTTTTGAAGAGCAAATCCCCACCCACCCCAAAGCATTGGGTCAAGAGGATTTATGAGCCTGACCACTCTTACTGTTCTGGCTGTTGAATTTGCTTCTGGTGGAATATATTTTATGGTGTATTATATTTGAGGTTTTAAAACTTTATGTTGTTTTCATTACCCTCCTGAGTAACTTACTAAATAAATAAAATCAGGTACTTTCTTAACATTTATGCTTTATTGATATAACTAATTCAATTAAAACTTTTATAATTAGTTTATCAAAGTATAAAATAACTTCCTCTCTTTTTACTTTTCCATTTTTCTTTGTATTTTATACTTTGATAAACTAATAAAAAAGTTTTAATTGATATAGCTAATTAATTTCAGAACACTTGCTCCCAAAGGTAACAATTACATTTCCTTCCCATGTCCTCTGCTTAACACCAGGCACAAATAATAACTGCAAAGATGTTGGAAATGTGCAAGTAATGTCTACGTAAACTTCAGAAACCAAGAAATATGGTGGGATGAGTAATACTGCAAGTATCTTGAAAAACCAAATATAATGGAAAAGGTATAATTTCTGATTTGGAAAGACAGAAAAAGGTGAACATTTATTATCTCTCCGGTTGATAGGAAAAGCACATAGGTAGATTGTAACTGAACATGTGGAGAAATGTGTTAGTCTTTCAACCCCTAGCCAATCCTGAGCCTTCCGAATCTAACATTATATGATATTCAGTAGGTGGTATTCGAAGAGCAGGGCATGGTGAAGATGCTCGCTTTCCACTTGAAAGATTGAGAGTTCAATACTAGATAGTGGCAGCAATTTCTCTCCTTGGGGGCAAAGAAAAAATATCTGCTGCAAACTTCTGATAGGCATCCACAGCAAGGGCATCCAGCCAGTAAACAGCTCCATCCAGTTGCCCTGATTCTACCCCGAATAGGGACTGCAGGATCATAAAAAGGGAGCTTACTGGGCAGGATTAGAGTAAAAGAATTGTGAGTTGAATGGACTGGTAATTTGAAATCTCATTAGCAGAGCTGTTTTTTCAAGAGTCCCTCAATAAAATATGCTTATGAATAGTTGCCTGACCAGTCTAAATTTCCTGACACATTGTTCTTTGTAAAGCTGAGACCGCCTATCAAGGCTTTTTCCCTTCAGAGCAGCCTTAGAATTTAGAGCTTGCCAGGGCATGACAATTAATCTCTAGAAACTCAATATTTCAAAGCTAGCAGCAGAAAAGACAAAGAGCGACCAGGATTAGATAAATAATTTGTTTTGTGGATGCAAGAAGCTCTTTAATTTTTGAAGGACTTTTGTTAGCATTTTCTCTATAGTTTTCTTGACACTTCTGTAATATTAAACCACCTGACAAGGCTGTCAATAAAATTTCATTTGACTTGAATCATTGTTACATTTCTTTATCAATTGTACCTTCTATATTAACAAAGATAAATGTTACCGTTTTCAATCAACTGCCAACTGTTTGGTGACCTGATTTACCTCCAGTAGAGATATATTGGCAATACAGTTAGTGTCTGACTCAGGCATGATTGTGCTGTGTAAGGACATTGAGAAGAGTTTATAATAACTTCTTAATTTTTTTTCCAGATGACATGGTGAGAACTGAATGATTGCAGATTCACTAGCTTCTAATACATTCTTTCCAAAGTGCCTGTTGTCATGAGGTGTTCCCTGAAACGATCACTTGCAACAGCCTTTTCTCTCTGTGTGTTCCTACTCATCATGTATCTGGCTTCTTGGCACCATGAAGATCTTGTGATGGTAAGAGTAACAACACATTTGCTGAGACAGATAGACAGACAGACAAACAGACACACACACACACACACACAGAGTAGCACACATGTTGCTGAGTTCTTACTCTATTAGAAGTCCCAAAATTGCTTCATAAATTTTGAGTATTTGCAAGAAACTTTTTAAACTAAATTATGTTCTCTCTTGGATGTAAGTTCTCTCTTTATTTTCATGCTGATTTGTCCACTGTTTTATAGTAAACATGAGGATAGAGATAAGCAGCCTAGAAATTAGCAGCCCTTTGTTAAAACGTTTTTGGCAGAAAATCAAGCAGAATGTCAGTGCTGATCTGAACAAAGAAATAATGATGGAATTGACAATTTGCTGCCTAGTTTTCTCCCAACACTGTCTGAGATAAGGAAAGCATAGTGTAGTGTTGTCCTGGTGTTTTTTTTAAAGAACTGGTGTTCCATCCAGGTTGTGACCACTATGGGAAGACGGGTCTCTGTCCATTTCTTCAAAGATCGTACATACTGTACATCTATACCATTCAATTTTTTTTATCTGTTAACTCTTAAAAAACAACTACACTAAGTATTTATTACTCTAAAATGCAGTCTTTTAATTAAAACGTGTGTCACAAAAATTGTGTGCATGCCTTCAAATCAGGTTTTTTACACTTGAGAACTGCATGGACAAGTCCCAGCAGTTTTCTTGGCTAGATTTTTTCAGACATAATTTACCATTGCCTGTTTTCTAGTGCTGAGTGAGAGTGACTGGCTGATTTTGTTCCTAAGATGAGACTAGAACTCAGGGCCTACCAGCTTCTAGCCTGATGCCCTAGCCACTACAACAAACCTGTTCCACAAAACGTGGGAATGCAAAAATTCAATCAGCATCTTAGTCTAGAAAGTACAGATCTAGTTGGTACTCTTAAAAATATGAATTAAATTAAATTCTAAGACACATCTACTTTCAACCTTGCCATGGCAAAAGTTTTTAGGACCAGAGGGTGAAGCAGTGGCATATATAGGAATCTCTGCTTCAAAATGTATTTCCACTTCCTAAGAAGAATATTCTTTCTTCAGATACCAGATTTGCCTGATAAAGGAGACTTTTTGTAATATAGCTGCCAAATTAATATTTTATTGGCATACATACTGTGCATAGCCTTTAGGAGGCTTCCAGAGTGCTCCTGGGGGTTGGGGAGGGCAAAAATGAGCGGAAAACGGGCCATTTTTTGCTTGTTTCCCCCTCCCCCCGCCAGCTCCCAGGAGCTGTCTATAAGCCTCCTAAAGGCTATACATGCCCTTTTTTGACAAAAAACTGGCCCATTTTCGCAAAAAATGGGCAGTTTTTGGGAGGTCTGCGGAGTGCAAAAACTTTTTTTTAATTTACCTCTTCAAAATCTTGGTGCATTTTATACTCCGAAAAATACAGTGTGTGTGTGTGTGTGTGTGTGTGTGTGTGTGTGTGTGTGTGTGTGTGT